GGGAGGCTGTGGAGCAGCTGGAGCCAGCGCTGGGTCCTTCCTGCAGATCCCAGCCCCACATGGGGGCTGTCGCTCGCAGGCAGCTCCCTGTTTGGGTTTCCATTCAATATTCCTGGCCTTCGGTTTCCAAGACTACAGGCCAACATCCCACCCCTCCTCCCACTCCTGGTTTCAAAGAAAGAAAAACACTGTGAAAAGAAGCTACCCGATTTCTGGGCACTTTTCAAAGCAGAAAGAAAGGCAGCGGTGGGAGCTGCTCGCCCCGTGCTCACCCAGGCTCTGCTCCGGCCGCGGTTCCCCGGCTGCTCCGTCCTCCTGCGGGCAGGAAAGCACCTTCCCACCTTCACAAGCGCGGGGTGCGGAGCAGCACCGGGGAGTTTTTAAGGCCAGAACGGGGATGTTGGGGTAGGGAGCTCCCTGGGGCTCCATTCAAACGGCTTTGCAAAGGCTGGTTTTGTTTGGGAATTCAATAGGGGGGAAGGAGCCGCAGGGACCAGCCCTGGGAGCCCGCGCTGGCCCCGCGCCCTGGCCCAGGAGGGTGGAGGATGGCGGGCACTCGGCTTTGCACCCTCACCTGGGGTCTCATTCGTGCTGTTGGGAATAGTCTGAGTCTAACGGCTTGATTTAAACGGGGGTTTCCTTGCTTGTCAGCAGGGAGGGAAGGGCAGCATCTCCCACCGAGGTCTCTTCAGCCGGGGGTGTGAGCGTGGCACGGAAATAGTCATGTTGGTGTGAGCCCGGGTGGGTGCTCCTTCCCCAGCTGAGCGTGTCAGGTGTCAGCCCACCCAGGTCCCTGGAGCCCCCACGGGTGTGAAACCAGTCACTCAGCTGTGTCCGACCAGGGAACCTCCCCGGGGGTGCCCACAGCCCCACATCAGCGGCTCTGGGGGCCACGAGCCTCTGCTCGGTGACAGATTGGGATCTCCAGCAGCTCCCCCCGACTCCCCAGGGGTGTGTGGGAACAGCTGGGCAGGGGTGTGGAGGAGGAGGAGGAAGAGGAGGAGGAAGAAGGAGAAGGCAGCACCCATTAGCTCACCACAGCGGGAGCGAGGGCCAGGCTCGATGGGGATGGTGTGGCAGGAGCACTCACAAAGAAACCCGAGTTAAATGCGACTGGGTGGCTTCATTCATGTTAGGAAATAGAGGATGCACCTCAAATTCCTTTTTTTATTCTTTTTCTTTGGGACTTTTGTTCCAGGGCAACGTTACTGTGCTCTTTCCATTGGCATGTGCTGGGTCTGGGGAGCCCTCTCCGTGCTGGAGGGTTTTCAGGAAGGTTATCCCCACTTTACCCCCGCGCTGAACTTGATGCCATGTTTGATTTAAGTGTCACATCATAGAATCATAGAATCATTCAGGTTGGAAAAGACCCTTGGGATCATCGAGTCCAACCATCAACCCCACTCTACAAAGTTCTCCCCTACACCATATCCCCCAACACCACATCTAAATGACTCTTAGACACTTTCAGGGATGGGGACTCCATTCCAGTGCCCGACCACTCCTTCTGTGAAGAATTCTTTCTAGTGTTCGAGGATGCTGCAAGCATGAGCTGTGGTGGCTGGGGAGGAGGGTGTAAGAACATCCCCGTGCGTTGTTCCTCCAGTAAATGGGACAGACTGGGATGGGGGAGCCACTCCACAAGTGCAGCACGGGAATGGCTTTGGGTCAAACCCAGCACCAGGAGCTGCGGGGCAGCGGTGCCCGGCCGGGGGCAGAGTTATGGTGCAGGAGCTATTTTAATCAGGCGGTGACTCACGGCTGGAGACACGGTGACTCACCCCAGAGCTTGGTCGTTGGGCTGTTTTGAAGATGCGTCAGGTTCCCGTGAGGGCGAAGGACGGTGTTTCACGCCGGAGGAATGAGCTGCCATTTATTTGTTCAGCTGCCTAAACCTCTGCAGACACGAGCCCGGGCTTGGGCAGTCAGGCATGGGCACAGCCTGGCGGGGCTTGGCACAGCACGGCACGGCACGGCATGGCACGGCATGGCACGGCGTGTCGGGCCCCCACCCGCCACCGTCTTCCTGTTGTGCTGGGCTTTTCCTCACACACGGAGCACTGGGAAGCAGAGGAGAGCAGCCTCACGGTGCCCATCACTTGGGGACCTGCCTGCCCCACAGCATTCCCACGTGTGGCATCACCAGCACAGCACCCAGGGCCAGGCATAGCGCGGGGAACGCTCAGGCACCGGTGTTTTATGGAAAAGTTTAATGAAAAAAAACCCAACACATTATTTCTGAGATGACAGAATCACACAGAGGTGTTTAAAAGGCTTTTAGCCCCGCGCCGCTCGTTCCTGATGTCCAGGGGAGCCGCCCACTCGCAGTGCCAGCTTTCTGCAGGTGTGCTACGGGCCCCAAAACGGGGGGGAGCTGCCCAAACCTCATCGATTACAGGCAATAAAATTCGTTATCGACTCTGCTTGTGCTTGGCCCAGACCCAGCACCGGGGATCAGATTCTCTACTGCCTGAGCAGGCCTGAAAACATTTCTTTTTTGGCAGCGCTTTCCAACAAACAGCAAATCCTTAAGATTTCTCCTTGGCGCCGCCCGAAGCATTTTTGCAGTGATTGATTTTCTCTGTGGAGATTCAGAGAAAGGCAACCCCCGTTTCGAGGAATCCCCACGAGCACAGGAGGGTTGTTCCCTCGCGCACGGAGGGTGCCCCTGCCCGCACCCCATCCCGGGGGACACGGGGATGCCCCTGCCCGGCTGCAGGCAGCGGTTGGGGGGAGGACGGGCAGAGAGGTCCCCTTGGTGTGGCCACAGGGTGATGTTTCCCTCTCCGTGGGTGGTGGGTGCAGGGCTGGCCCTGGGTGCTTTTTGGGTCCCCCAGCTGCGTGGGTGCAGAGAGAGGGTGGGTGAGTGGGGTGATGGGGACGTGGAGTGCCCCTGTGGGGTGTGATGGTACCTGCATGGGGCAGCAGCAGGTACCCCATGGTGGGGGGGGGTAGCAGGCATCCCACGGGGGGCAGCGGCAGGTACCCCAGGGTGGGGGGCAGGGGGTTGCAGGCATCCCACGGGAGGGGTAGGAGGTACCCCACGAGGGGCAGCAGCATGTATCCCACGGGGGGGGGGTTGCAAGTATCCCACAGTGAGGGTGGGGATAGCAGGTACCCCACGGGGGGAGTAGCAGGTACCCCACGGGAGGGGGATGCAGATATCCCATGGGGGGGGTAGCAGATAACCCACGGGGGTGTGTGTGTGTATGTAGCAGGTACCCCACGGAAAGGGGGATGCAGATATCCCACGGGGGAGGGTAGCAGATACCCCACAGGTGTGTGTGTGTGTGTAGCAGGTACCCCACGGGAGGGGGGTTGCAGATATCCCACGGGGGAGGGGAGCAGATAACCCGGGGGGGGTGTGTGTAGCATGTACCCCACGTGTGTGTGTGTAGCAGGTACCCCACGGAAAGGGGGTTGCAGGTACCCCACGGGAGGGGGATGCAGATATCCCATGGGGGGGTAGCAGATACCTCACGGGGGTGTGTGTGTGCAGCAGGTACCCCACAGAAAGGAGGTTGCAGATACCCCACGGGGGTGTGTGTGTGTGTAGCAGGTACCCCACGGGAGGGGGGTTGCAGATATCCCACGGGGGGGTAGCAGATAACCCACGGGGGGGTGTGTGTAGCATGTACCCCACGTGTGTGTGTGTGTGTGTAGCAGGTACCCCAGGGGAAGGGGGTTGCAGGTACCCCACGGGGGAGGGTAGCAGGTACCCCACGGTGGGGGGGTGTGTGTGTAGCCGGCACCCCACGCCCCCGCGTGTGCGCTGCCCTGGCACCGGGGCGGGGGGGGGG